TTGTCTTTTATTTGTGAATGAATATGTTTTCTTTGAAAACTCTGAAGATAATTTACAAAGAGCAACTTATCTGTTACACGAAAAGAACGCAATTTTAAAACTGAAAATTCAGAAAATGAAGACAATGACACTCAGATGGACACAACATATGGGATTCAAAATTGTAACTTTAGACAGAAAAACTGACCAAGTTAACAATTTCATGTATCCAGATTATGTTTCATATTAGGAAATATGGACACTGATAACACAATTATAGTTTCAAAAGATGAATGGAACAATACTCACAATCTTAAAAAACAGCAAAAAAAATAAAGGAAAGTCAAAATCAATAAAGCAATGGCAGTGCCAGTATGGACTCTTGGCAGAGAACATAAAGATGCAAATTTCCACAGCAGGAATGCATATTTTTAACTGACATTACACAAAATCTGCAGTGGCAATATACAAGGTGTGTCCCAAAAGTCATGACATATATTTCTTTCCCACACTCCTACTGGTCGCAGCGCGCTGGAATCGGTTGGGTTGGTGGGGGGGAGGCCTTCAGCTTCACAGCGCACCCAAGGTCAGTCTGCTCGAGCATCGGAGGCATCAGTATCGCTGATTTAGTGCACCTGTGTTTTGTGACCATCTCACGGCGCGTGGTGGCGGATACTTTCGAACAACGTTGGGCAGTCAGGTTCTGCACAAAGCTCAACAAAAAAGCTGCCAAAACTCATGAACTGCTTAAGCAAGCCTACAGGGAGTCTGCTCTATCATATGTGCAAGTTTCAAGGTGGGTGAAGGAATTTAAGGTGGGCCAGGAAGGAGTGGAAGATGACCCCCGCTCTGGACGGCCATCAACAAGTAAAACTGATGAAAATGTGACTCGTGTGCGTGACTTGTTGAATACTGACCGTAGAATGACTGTCCGGTTGTTAGCCGACACTCTGAACATTCCAAAAACCGTTGTGCATCGCATCGTTATGGACGAATTGAACATGTGAAAGGTGTGCGCCAAGCCGGACCCCAAATTTTTGACGGATGAGCAAAAGGCCAATCGAGCGTTGATCACGAGTGAATTGAAGGAACGTGTGGAAATTGAACCTCATTATTTAGACTGTGTTATAAGCGGCCTCCATAGTCTAGAGGTAATGTTCCCACCTCATGACTTGTAGTACGCGGGTTCAAATACTCGGTGGAGGTCGTCGAATTTTTAAGGGCGGAAAAATTCAGGGAACAAGTCATCCAGGAGGGACTTTAAGCCGTGGGTCCCGTGTCGTAGCTTTATGGCACGTAAAAGAACCTCATATTGCCTAAGGAGGTCACAGAGCCAAATTGCGGACGTTTCCCGCTCAACAGCAGTCTCTAATACCTCTGATAGATGGGGGAAGCATTATAGATACCTCTCAGCCAATAGAGCCGGTCTCGCTGGCTGGGCGGGACTGATGGTAAGTACCAATACCGGTAGGATATAGAGACTGGTAGAAATCATAGAGGGAAGCACAATGGACCAATTATAGGTCTAAGTGCATGGGGAAACCCACCCTCTTCAAATAACTAACTAACTAGACTGTGTTATTACACCGTTTTGAAAGCATTCAGGCTGTTCAAGCGGCCATGACAACAGCTTTAAATGAGGTTCCCGTCGAGGCCTTTGAGGGGGCGTACTGGGCATGTGAGAGTCAGTGGAAAAAATGTGTAGATGCTCATGGACAGTACTTTGAAGAATATTAACACTTTGTACTGATATCATCAATAAATTTAAAAAATACATATATATATATTTCATGACTTTTGGGACACACCTTGTAAATGAAAGGATCTTAGATTACATACACATTCCAAGAACACACAGAAAAGATACCAAATAACAGAATTCCATTAAGGAAGTGTATAAAACCACAATTTTGTGCATATTTAGGGCTAAAATATTACAAAGTCAAGCTATGCTACAAGCCGGAAGGTCGCAGGTTCAAGTCCCTATGAGGTCATTGGATTTTTTCAGTTGACCTAATTCTTCCAGCCGCAGTAGGCCCGGGGGTTTACTCAGCCTCTAACAGAAATGAGTACCACAAATTAATTAAATAATTTTCCTGGGGAGTAAAGCACGGCCAGCGCGTAAGGCTGACAACCTTACCGCCATCTTTGAGCAGACTGTGTAGATAATGTGGGAGCCTCAACCTCTCACAACCCTATGGGCCTTCACGGCCTGATACAGGGATAGCTTTACTCTTACTTTCATAGGCTCTCACATCCCCCCCTTGGATTCTTATATGCCGCTCTGTGGGGTGCTCCATCAGTTGAGAACCACTGATGTAAATGGCACAAAAAGGTATGAGACAGACTGCCAGAGAGAGACAGAGAGAGAACTACTGGATCAATGTAAAATAAATAAATAAACTGTTCGGTAGTCTGTTCAAGGAATGTATAAGAGAAGCTTTTATGTTGATTACCACCCTAAAGAAAAGACAAAAATAGATGGTATGAATAAATACAGCCTGCAGGAGACCTCACTTGGGGGTCATGGACAGGTGGTTTTATGGAGAATGGATTTTACTTGTATTTCAGTTATGGACATTAATGATTATTAATCTGTGACAATATGGTAGAATGCTCATTCATGGTCTACTACAAGCAACTCTTGATAAGTGTGTTTATAACAGTGCTAGAAATTGATGCACTAACTGAAAATCAATTTTCTAGAAGAATGCACATACTAAGGAAAATGCTAACCTGACCTAACTTTATGGACCTGGACAGACACACAAATACCAATTTAAATCTGGATTTATTTTACCATTTACTATACATTTAGTATGACTAGATGCTTGCAAAAGATGAAGCACTCTATTTTATTTACAAAGAACATGCTACAATTGGGCAACATGATTCTTCTATCTTTTATAGTGCCACATTATCTTTTAGCTAAAATGTACATAACTAGAACAGGCAGGTGGTTGGATAAAATTAAATAAATCCCAAAATGAAAACTGGTATTCAAACATATTCTAAACGTGGGATGTCTGAAATCAAGTACCTATCCTTCTATTCCCTGAACGTCTGGAGGCAAATCACACTGAATAATGTGAGATCCAACAAAGTAAAGGCCACTTAACAGAGCTTTTTAAAAAAAATATTAGAGGTCATGCCACGATACTTCACAGCACACAAAAAGATTCATACCCCTGTCAGTCAATGTAGATACAAACTTCATAGCTTCCATGTTACGAGACAAGAATAATACGACAATATATAGCTAATGGGCGTGAAAAAACAGAAGAAATGCATGGAGTTCATATTACAATTTTAAGAGCAATGATAATAATGCATATATAAATTATAGTTTGGTTTTTAAATTGCATAACAGTTCAATGAATTACAGAAGACAAAATTGAATCACAATATAAAAAAATGACAACAAATATAGGACTGCCACTAGAAAAATCATACATGATTTTGTTATAACAAAATGTACCAAAAGTAATAAACACTGTTTCATCCAATCTTCACATTTCATGAATACACAGAGGGGAATCACTCTGTATGCTCATCCCACAAAGCACTTCACACATTTGGGATTAACTTAATATAAGATGTACTGATATCTGTCACGCTAATTTCATTACAGTTCACATTTGCTGAATCAATTTGCTGGAACACTAACAGAATCGGGCCCACTCAAATCTAACCTCTGTTAGACTCATTAACATGCTGCAAAGGCAATCAATTTGTTTTGCTCAGTATTCCTGCAAACAGATCACTGAAGGTCACAGTGCAAGGGCTGGATTTTATGGCCCACCGCTTACACACATACCTAGTATTCCTGCATCCCTTTGTCACACTGGATGAGTCAAGTCAAATGAAACTGAGTATCCACCTTTGCAGCATCATATGTGCAATGAATCAGATTCGATTCAGTTTGACTGAACCTGATTTGGTTAGTGTGACAACGAGTCCAAGACTCCCAGATTATACAACACCATCAAATAGTTTTCTTCATTAAAAACTCTATCAAAAATATAATGTGAACTCTATGCTGGCATTGTTTTTGAAAATGTTTAAAGAAGATTAATGCTGTTCCATCATCTACACGCACAAAACCTGGTGAAGAATACGTGATCATGCACGAGGTGGAAGTGAAATGAGCTCCTCAAACTGACAATCACTGTGAGTGTTTTGAATGTGGCTTAGGGCACAGATGCTTGTCCTGTGGCATTACAAGCTTTGTGATGACTGAATCCAAGTATTGTTACCACTCATCTTAGTACAGACTTAGAGAATCCATAAAGCAGAGGATGCCCTGGCTATGATGCCACAGAAAATTAAATAACAGCTTTCTTTCAATATTCATTCTATTTTCACATTTACTTTACACACAACGGTGGAAAGGTGTATTCATTCATTGAAATTACAACTATACTGTTAAGTGAGTTATCACACAGCTAAGAAACTGTTTTTTTTTTATTGCTACTGTGGTGGGACTAAGTCCCTTGTACTGTGGCCACTTCTGGCCTATTGTACCAGCCCCAGATGATAGGTGAGGGTGATTGTGGAGTAATTAGTGGAATGAAGATTGGCAGGGGAAACCGAAGTACTCAGAGAAAACCTGCCCCAGCGCCACTTTGTCCACCACAAATCCCACTTGACCAAACCTGGGATCGAACCCAGGCCGCCGCGGTGGGAAGCCAGCGACTAACCGCTTGAGCTATGGCTTGGCATAAGAAACTGTTAGTGACAGGTGTTAATAACACCCATATTTTATTTCTGTACCAATTCTTTATACAATGAGCCTTTTATAAATTCATGAACTCAGATTCCTGTAAAACTAGGGCTACAGAAAACACACAAAAAAATACATATATAAAAATCTCCTAATAACGTATGTGCAGATAATACCCCTCCCCCACTATACCAATTAAATTAAAATATTGTGAGCAGTGTACAGAAGAAAATACAGACACAATCTCCCCATGTACTTTATGCACAAAATGTAAAAACATTAAACACCATAATTTTACCTGTCATTTTAAATGGTTCTGAAACGTGTCTTTCATTGTGAAGGAAGAGCAACAGGTGAAGTGCCCGAAAACAATGTGCCGAGAATATTTGGACCTGCAAATGAGAACAGCAGAATCAAAAGACTGCATGAGCTTGATGAGCATGATTTTTCATTTTGCAATATTAGGCTGAGTGATTCAAGGGCATTGAGATGCACATTTGGTGGAAACATGAAAAATACAAAAATTTGCTGGAAAACCCCTTGGAAGGAGGTCCCTTGGGAAGCAAAGACACAGAAGATAACAATATTAAAATTAATCTTAAATGAATGGCAAGATGTAAACTGCCTCAAATAGGACCAAAACATGCATACTATGGTGGACTTCTCTGAAGGAGATTATGTATCCTCTGGTTCTATAACAGTAGAAAAATCCCAGACAACCAATGACCTATTAACTTCCTCTAATGTATATAACTAACTCCATGGTACAGGGTGAACATGGTGATACTGTATCAATGATTCAACCAAAGATGAGTTACTTAGTTTCAAACATGCAGGCTCACCCTTCCCAATAATTAAGAACTGTCAGTCATTTTGCATGCCATCAGTTTCTATGGTTAGCACAGGCAATAACAGCAGTATTTCCTTGGAAGGGCACATGGAAATTCAAGATCAAAATTAACATGAAATAAACATCATATATGTATATTTTCATTTACCACAGCCCCCCCCCATTTCTCCGATTACAATTACTGTAAAACAGTATATGATGCACATCATTTTTTTTGGGGGGGGGGGGGAGATTTCGATGGTGGCACCAGAAAAAAAGTTTAGGAACCAATGCACTGGAAGACCAAACAGGGGCACGATTATACCTAATAAGATTATGGCTTTGTATTTTCCACATTATTCTTAGGTCAGCCAACTTACTAACAGTGAGAATCAAACACATGCAGTCTGAACACCACTAGAGAAAATAACTGACACACTAAATGAGGTCAAAGAATTGTCAGACTCAGGCCTGTAATACTTGTGGGCAACATAAACTGTCAGAAGACCAAATCAAGTAGACTGGCCACTACCAGACATCCAACATATATCTACCACAATGGCTCCAACATGACTGATCCTAGTTCATATATTAGTTCAAAATGAAATCTCAATAAATCAAGATCACCTCTGCATCAACCCCCATCAGGAAACAATTGCCAGTCATGGTAAATGTAAAACCTCTAGAATACATGGCAATCCACCTCTCCCAAAGTTCTCAAGGAAGCTGGATACAGCCCTCAAGCACATCAAGAAAGGGCAAACTGATTCTGCAGCTCAAGCAATGTAAGTTAATGAAGTTGGCAACTATATTGACAGATGACAAGGGAAAAGAAACGATGTGGTCTGACAGGTAGTACCAGATAGTATGGAAAATAATAGTGGTGGCAGTACACAAGGTTTACAATACCTACAGTAATTTGAAGAGACAGGTACGGCATATATTTGCCATCACGGTAGAGGGCATGAAAATGGTAGACAAACCCCCCACAGACAGCTGAAGACTTCAGAAAACTATTTCTCTGGTATTCCAAACATTGGACAGAGGCTTTCCACATCTCTTTACACGTACCTCAGCACAAACTGTCTTTCAAAAGACTGGAAGTCACTAATGGAAGAAGACAACAAACAGAAAGATGGAACACACTAATGGAATTATGACTGGGCACATCAAGGCCTTATATGAGGTCTGACAATAAAGTTTGCGAACTCGCCATGGTAGCAGTGGACAGAAACATCAGTATGGTTTGATGACATTGGCATATTAGCATTTCACAGCTGTGTTGTTGTTGATCTATGGCAGTCTTTTTCTGAGTGGCGTCCATTATTGCCTGAGTGTGTTTTGGTGTGCCACTGTGAGAATGTCAGAGCTTGAATTAGAGCACTGTCTGCGAGGGAGTTTTTACCTAGTAAACAAATAACTGTGCTGGAACACCCTCCCTATTCACCAGCTCTAGACACCAGTGAATTTTTTCTGTTCCTGAAGATAAAGGAAATATTGGAAGGAAGGCATTTTGGTGACAGGGTCAAAGTTCATGAAACTGCTGAAGTGGCAGGGTATTGCAAAAACCTATGTTCATGAAATCATCTCAGATTTAAACTTCCACAAAGTGTCTGCTTGCTGGGTTCAAAAAATGCTCACCAAGGACCACAAAAGCAAAAGAATGGCTGCTTCGCTTGAAAATCTTTGCCATTACCAGTTGAAGGAGAATCATTCGTGGTAAGCATCATTATGGGAGATGAAACATAGGTTTACAAGTTCACACCAGAGTCAAAAAGAAATTCCATTACTCAGAAACATCCTCTTCACCCATTACAAAAAATAAATTCAAAACGGAGCCACCTGTGGNGGGGGGGGGGAGAAGAAGAAAGAAAAAAAAAAAAAAAGAGGGCAACCATGTTCTGGGATTGTGAAGGCCCCCTGCTGTGTGAATTTCTCCCACCAAACATGACAATCAACAGTGACAGATACTGTGAAACTCGCGAAAAATTGCACGATGCCATTAAACGAAAGACCAGCACAATAAACCGCTGGAGTGAGGCTTTTGCATGATGGAGCACATTCTCACATTTCAGCCCACACAGCATCCTGGTGGCAAAAGAGGAAGCGGGAAGTTTTGCAGTATCCACCACATAGTCCTGATCTAGCACCATCAGATTTCTACCTCTCTGGGCCATTTAAAAACTTTTTATCAAGAAAAAGATTTGAGAACCGAAATGTATCACAAAAAACAGTTGTGCAATACCTCACATCCCTTGGAAAGGGACACTACCATAAAGGAAAGTTTAAACTTGTAAAACGATGGGATAAATGTGTGAATGCTAAGGTTGACTATGTGGAAAAACAAACATTAGTATGTAGTGTTTCTTGACTTTATTAAAGATCTTTCTGCAATAAATATGATGTAATTTGGTGCTATACTTTTAAATTTGGACCGCCCTTGTACTATCCATGCTGTGAAAAACTTCCTAAACAGCACACATGAACCATTTCACTTTCTAAAAGCAAAATTTTACACAGCTTTCATCTGATTCATGAGGTCATTTGATGCCCTAAATATGCGGAAACTAACAACAAAACTGGAAGAGCTGACAACTGGAAAGAACATGTTCCTGTTAAGATAAGAAATATCTTGGCTCTCAAAACATCTGAATGGATAATAAATATCTCAAAAAACATCCAAACAAAATATGGCAAGATGATCTTTTGAGGTCCTGCCATTCAGATGCAGACTAAAGAGTAAAAGAACCTTAACACTACAGCGACTTTTTATATGCATGCAGACAGTACGGACTTCAGTCTCAATCTTTTGAAACAGGTAAGAGTCAGTCCACAGTAGAGTTAAACTCTGTGCAAACACAAGAAATCAAACCTATTTTGGACCCCCTCACAGAAAACTTTGAAATGAATAATTCTACCTTCTAGGACATAATACTGTGTACTTCAGTGAAAGTCAACCAACATTTCAGAGTAACATACTACATCCATCTTCAGTGTTGAGTAAGGCAAGCAAGAATCAAATGAAGCAGGCAGAAAACAGCAAGCTTCATGCTGGTTTCTTGCTTGGCCTACTCTTCACTCTGAAGGTGGTAGCAATATATTCCTCCATAACCTTTGATGATTTTCAGGAAGTACATAGAACCATATTCTAGAACACAGAATTCTTCATAACTGCTGCTGAGGGAACACCTACTACTATAACCTGAAAATGGCCAAAGGCAAAAAAGTAGTTTCTGAGAAAGGCTCTCCATATATCCGAAGAAATCCAGCCTCCCATTCTTTGCAAATCTCAGAAAATTAATTCCACACTTTTGTGCAGGAAACGTGACCTTCAAATGTCAGAGACCTTCTTATATTGTTATGAAATGATTATAGGTGTTAAATAAAACATGCCTTTTTAACAGTTGCTGTGAAAATAGCATACCTATTTAACAGTTGCTGTGAAAATACAGCAAAATTTCACAAACGAATTCTCAGTCAGTACCCGATATATTATTTCTGTACTTTGCACTGCTACCTGCACAACATGACAAAGATGGACATAAAATTTGTTTCAGGGCACAAATTTGTCAATATACATAAAACTTGTTACAAAAACAGGCACACTGAAAATATCACAGCTGGTAATATAAAGACATGAAAATGGCAAGTCATTACGTACGCACAAACACACAGTTCACATTGTTCACATCCATTATGTCAACAAACATTTTTTTAAATTTTGTGGTCCTGTGTGCAGGTAGTCTGTATTCAAACGCTAACTCGTATATATAGTTTCACATACTCCTACAATAAATTCTCCACCAAAGTATACACGCAAACTGGCAGCTTCAATACAACGCATTAACACGGAGGGAAAAAAAGGCACAAAATAATGCTTAGACAAACATACATCAGAATATGGGGGGCCTCTCCCTAGAAACAGAACTCTTGCTGAAGCTGAATCTAGGTCTGAACAAATTTATATGACGTTTCGCTGGGAACAAAATTTAAAGTACCACTACAATTTCTTTTGTTCTTTATATATAAAGCATAAAATATAAATATCACAAAAAGTGCAATATTGGGAAACTTTTTTCCCATATGAAAACAATGACTAGTTGGACTGAACATCTTTAAGTAATGGAAATAAATTCCACTATAACAAGAGAGTAATAATTGACGAAATTATGGAAACGAAAATAAAATCCAAATCGCAGTTCTCAACCCCCATTTTGACCACCTTCGTTAGCCGTAAATTTTAAGTTTCCCCTAAACCCAACAAGACAACCTTACGTAAACTAACCTCCAGATTTCCAGAGGCTCGTCGCGATCGATGTCAATATCGATACTCCATAATCGACCCCATCCCCTTAGCAGCATATTTATTCCGTCTTATGCTGCCATCTAGCATGAAATTCGTAACTACTTCATAATAACTGCGTCTAGTGTAACCATAGCTCCGCTTGTAATTTACGTACATTTAAGTCGCATTGGCTTCGCAGTCCACTTTCGTTGGTAACATTCTGGCATGTTTGAAATCACTATGCCACAATTTCATATTATGGTTCAAGTCTACAAATGACGCTTCTCTTAATTTCAATAACAATGCGCTGCTCAAAAACACTGAAATTTCACTACTGAAATATAGGTACACCGGGAATCTACCTACAAAATACTTTAAAATGCTCTAATGAAAACAAGTTACGCGAAAGAACAACGGCCAAGTCGATACCAGCACCATATAATCCCAATTCCTATAATGGGCTTCTTCCCATTTCCTGTAAAATATATAAACTTGGGTGGGCACCACTTAATTTTATACATACACACAGTAACATCTGTCAACTGTCCAATCTCTGTTCACATGGTATAAATTTTGCTACCTGAATATACATATAGGGTGGTCAATTTCAAGTATTCAGACTCATGAAAACCCCTGAGAGAAATGGCCAAAATAAAACTGCCCAGGTCAGTACCACAGCTTTGTTCATTTATGTTGCATTAGCATGGCACCACAAGTCAAAGCATAGGTACTTTTATTACAAAAAAAAAAAAAAAAAAAAACATATATGTTTCTGGGCATGTAGTGGAATTGGAGTTTAGAAGAGAAAAAATTCAATATATTATGAAGTTGCTCCTTTTACCCAGCTGCAACTGTGTTTTGTATTTATTGTGCTTGCACTGAGGAATGCAAGTATAATATAATGCAATATAAATGAACAAAAATAAACATATCTTATTTCTGTAGGGATAAATACTTGACCACACATTTTACAGAAGAGGTACATATACTCTACCATATGGCAAATATAATTACTCTGTAACAATACCACACATTAACAACACACTTAAACATGTAATATATGTTATAAGCATTCTATGTCAATCAATTAAAACCTAAAAGTACGTGCAAACAGGAAAGTGCATAAAGTTTGAAAAAAAATCTTTTCCACCCATATGGAAACTTGCAGACTGTAGGCAACAACTGCCAACTGTACATACAATTTGCACAGTGAGCTTCTAACATTGTCCTAAATATCCAATTACAATTTCTATACATTATCATCATTTACATGTACCTGGTTTTATGAATGGAACTGGGTGAATCACACTTCCAAGATCTATTCATTATAAACTGTATCTATTGATGAACCATAACAATTAGTTGGACTGGCATATAAAAAATGAAATATCAATGACTGAACACAACAACAAAGCATGTTTCATTATTACATGTTCAGCGTATTTCATTTGATGAATTATTTGGACAACCATCTAACACATCAACTTAATGTTAAGTTCACCCTGTAAGGAAAAATCCACTATATGCCATTCAGGTACAAAACACAAACAACTAAAGATGAGATATGTGTATGTGCAAGAATGTATATGTCTGCACTTTACATGTGCTTTTGTGAGCTATGAAGTTACAGTTCAAAATGATAATTATGGGCTCATCAACTGCAAACATCTTCCTTGTTAAACATGATATTAGGATCTTCTGTTACAGATTCTGTGTGTCCAGGAAAACTAAATACAAATAATTTGTGTTGTACATTTTTTCAAGATCACCTATTAAGTTTTGTCTTCCAATAGGAATATAAGATAAGTATAAGTCTCTCTTAAAACTAAAAGCTCACAGTATTTCTTTGGATGTAAGGGTAGAGAACCAGAAAAAGGGAAAAAAAAGTTTACATTTTTTGTCACTGTGAATTTCTAACTAGTCTCCATTTTGTAAAATCACTTAATGGTGGTCATGCATTTTCACCATAAAATTCACCATCCACCAAAATGCCCACGATTTCCCCTGAAAGGCCTAAAACCTCCTCTATGTCCTCTACCAAACGGTCTATCAAGAGGAGGCCGGAAGGGAAATCGGACAGGAGGACCACCACGTCTTGGTCCATTCCACATTGGTCTTGCCCTTGGCATAAATCCCCCATGTGGAAAGGTCTTGAATAAACGACCTCGGCCTCTCTGGCCCCTGTCCTGCTCTGTTCTGCCCATATCAAGTTGCTCAAGTTCTGCTAATTCATTATTCATCCAATGTTCACTGCCATCTACCTCCACATGTTTAACTACAGGTTCATTTGTTATTTTTGCAACAGGTTCAGTTTCTGTAATAGTTTTGTCCTGTGTTATAGTTTCCTCAGCTGCTTCTTCCTTTTTACGATTTGGGGAGTCTCCAGCAGTTTCATCTGTCTGCACACCTTCTGTAACAGTACTGCCAAGGTCCACTTCAGCTCTCTCCTTTTCTATGTCTGGATCAGCAGCACTCCACTTTCTCATATCATTATTCACTTTTATTGCTGGTTTCTCCTGTACTCCCACAACAGTTTCTGATATGGATAGGGGTGGGGGTGGAGGAGGAGGTGGTGGTGGTGGTGGCGGCAGTAGTGATTCTGTGGTTACTTCCTCTTCCACTGCAAATTCTACACAAGACACATTGCCTTGAACTTCACTGCAGGATTCAATTTCTGACTGAGGTTTTATTTCAATTGTTACATTGAAACTCTCTGGCTGTGGTAATAGGCCTACATGAGGAGGGAGAGGTGGAAGGGGTGGTGGAGGAGCCATCATGGAAGGTCTGAAACCCCTTGGTAAGTTAGGAGGGGGAAGCCTCTTGACAACTGGAGGGGCTGTCAGAAGTGGTACACGTGGACGAGGTCCCATTCCACGTGGAGAATGTGTACTTCCTCCTATGCCACTTATAGTTGGTATCTTCTGACAGCCATATATACGAGTTCGGTGTCTTATTTGTTCTTCTTTTACTTCATTTAGTGGTGAATTGGCTAAAACCTTTGAATGACTGTTTATGTTGAACGATATAACAGGTTTATTATTTTGAGACATTTCAAAACCTTTATCTTTTTCCATCATTGCTTCCTTTTTCTCGCTTGCAATGTCATCTATCATTTCCTCATCGCTCATCTCCATATCCACGCTTTCGACATTATCTTGGGTTTCGTCTAGCTGCCTGCGGACCATAGAATGAGGCTGGTGTAACCTGTAATCCTGATCTCTCTGTTGCAGCATTTCCTTCTTGCCTAAGTTACTGGCTGTTACTGTAGTACGATAATCTTGGTCATTATGAGACCAGTTTAAAGATGGAGGAGTGGGTGGAGGATGCAATGTTGAATGATCACGTACAGGAGAACCAGTCAAACTAATAAGATTACGATGGTCCACATCCTTCTTACGAGGTATCATTGGGCGGTGGTCCATATCTTTTTTGGCATGATTTGCTGTAGTGACAGGCAGAATCACACGGTGATCTGTATCCTTCATGTGTTTCACTGGGAGTTGGATTCGACAATCAGTATCTTTTGTATGACTGATCTGTGGCAACTGCACCAGTGTGCGGTGATCTACATCTCCACTGCTGGACATCAGATCAGGTTCAACCACGGAATCATCATATTCAACTGGATCACTGAAACCCTCCTTCTCATACAAGGGAGGCGACTCTGGAGTGTCCAAGGAGAGTGGTGGAACCTTGTTTGGGGGCATGACTGGCATCCACTCAGTTGTTTTGTCACTTTCTTCTCTTTCCCAACCTGGGGCAGTATCACCCCAAGTGGGAAATTTGGGGGGTAATTTAGTGTTCCAAGCATCTTCCTCTCGTTCAATTGATTGGTCATATTTGTAAGATGGTTCTTCTAAAGAAAATAAATTTGGTGGCAATGGGGGAGGTTGTAGAGGAGTGGATGATGTGTCTCCAGGATAATCATACTGGTCTGTTGTGTTCAGTTCTGTAGTTGGACTGTAAATGGATTTTGGTGCTGACTGTGGAACTGTGCTCTGCGGAGTTGGATCCACATTAAGACCTGGAATGATTGGACTGCTTCCTGACGGAATCAAAGACTTCAAGAACTCAGTGATGTTGAATCCTTCATCGGGCTTCGTTCTTGAGTTTATTACTTCAATTGGCTTACCCTTTAAAAAGAAATAAAATTCCACATACAACAACAGTAACAGTTGTACAAATATAATCACTCGAGTTATATTCATAAGTGCCTGATGATGACCCAATTATATGGTCAAAACATGTAACAGAGTTATGTTTATATTAAACACCAGCACCAATTGTCTTTATTGAAGATATTCCCATTTTACTTGTGTTGATGGTCATAATATAAGTAATTAAATAACTTTCAAATATTTAATATCACACAGGGAACCAACCTCTGATGCTGGTGTTGTGGAAAGCAATGGAACACCGCCTGGATCATCTAATGCTGGTATAGGAGAAGGGGATAACAAACCCTCTGTACTGGTTTCACTGAATAGGCTTTTCTGCAACACAGCACAATTTATAATAATGTATCCATTTCAAAAAGTCATTTATGTAAAATGTATATCTTTCATTTACAGAAGAATAATGACTGCCTGCAGTTATTTCTTTTTTGATTGAGTTCTCTCTCAATCTATGTAGGTCGTACTGAAAGTCATGAGCAACTTTTTTTTGCATGCAACCTGGGAACAGCAGACGAAAGAGAGTATGGTGGTAGGTGGAACCAGCTGTTATGTTAACCGTGAGAGTCTTGTGATGTCAATAGCTTGCATCACGTGACCAGTATCACTCCTAACAAAATGGTCGACAATATGTCGTTTTGCCAGCGTGCTGTCATCAAACTTCTTGTGAAAGAGGAAATCCCTGCTGCAGAAATTCACCAGAGACTTCAGCATGCTTATGGAAGTGTGTGCATGGGTGTGAGCAGTGTTCGAGGATGGGTGAAACGTTTTAAAGATGGGAACACCAGCATCGAAGATGAGCCTTGGAGTGGTCGTCCTCAAACAGCCTCAATTGAACGCAACAAGGAAAGAGTGGATGAGATCATTCAAGATGACAGGCACGTGACTGTGGAAACAATAGCCCGAAAACTTGGAATAGGGCACAGTGCAGTACAGGAGATGCTTGAAAGCTTGGGTTATAGGAAAGTTTGTGCTCGCTGGGTCCTGCGGTTATTGACCGAAGACCACAAAGGTCAGCGAAAAGCCATCACCTCAGAACTGCTGCAGAGATATCGACACAAAGGCAATGATTTTTTGCTCTGTATTGTGACAGGTGACGAAGCTGGTTTCACCATTTTGAGCCTGAAACGAAATGGCACCATTTGCATTCTCCATCAAAAAAGAAGGCAAAGACACTGCCATCAGCTGCGAAGGTGATGGGCAGTCTTCTGGGATACAGAGGGGTTTATTCTGGCCGAATTCCTGGAACCTGGGCAAACCATCAATGCTGCTCGTTATATCCAGACACTGCACAAGCTCCGTTGTGCATTGTGCGATAAACGTCCGGGACGAAACATCATCATCCTGCATGACAACGTTCGCCCCCACGCCACTCACCTCACATTGGAAACAATTGCAAAGATGGGGTGGGAAGTTCTTCCACGCCTCTCCTACAGCCCTGATCTGGCACCCTTCGACTACCATCTTTTCAGATTTGTGAAGGATCAGCTGCGTGGACGTTTTGAGACAAGGGAGGCAATTCAGAAAGCAGTGCATCAGTGTCTTCGGATGGCTGGAACGGAATTTTACAGAAGGGGAATTTTCAAACTCCCACAACACTGGGAGAAATGTGTACAAAGAAGCGGCGATTATGTGGAAAAATAAAGAAAGGTCTGTAGATTGAGGTGGTGTATTTGGTTTGTCAATAATAAAGCATGTTACTTTACAAAAAACTATTTCTCATGACTTTCAGTATGACCCTTGTATCAATACTGAATGGATTCCTTGGTCAAGAATGACAGGGAGGCAAGCTGTATGAAAAACAAATTCACAGGAAGTAGTGAACTATCTCAGTTTGTCCATATTCCTCCTGATGTCATCAATTTGTTTCCAAGCTAACATAAGTATTGTGACATGCAGACCAATTTCTAGGCAACGCCCGAAATATGCGCATACAACAGAAAAGGTATTGCAAGAAGTGTTCTATGTGGTCCGCCCTGTGCCCACTGCTAGGCAACGGGTCACTAAACACATTCCCACAGAAGTGTACCGGGGAACAACAGGACATCCATTTCTAGGCAATGGAGCTGTAAACGCCCCTATGAATTGCTGAGAGGCGGTGTTTTCTGTGGGGTCTGTGCAAAGTCGAGTTCCGAAGCTAGTAGTTGTGGAAGAATGAGAATGAGGACTGAGGATGTACAAAGGAGTACAATGGAGTCAACAAGCAAAAAGAATACTTGATGGGTGCTGTAGTTACAGTGAGACTGTTATAAATCCATTGCCAGGATACAACTAGTGAAGACTGTTAAGACTCAGCAAGTCCTAGTAATGGTGTCAGAAGGGGTCTGACTGGTAACTGCATTAGGTTGAAGATTGAATTGTGCAGTTACAGCACCATGGAAAACATGGAACTCCTGAAAGCCATGCAAGAAATGATGGATGCCAACTAAGCAAAAATGCTGGCCAAAATGGAAGCTGACTGAGATGACTGCAGGTTGCAAACCAAGGCAAATGCCAACTAAGCAGAAATGTAAGCCATGCAAGCCAAGATGGCCACCAATCAGGTAAGGCTGGAAGCCATTCAAGACAAGATGGAAACCAACCAAGCCAGGACAGAAGCTAACCACAAGATGATATCCAAGTTAGATGCCCATCATGAAAGGATGAAAGCCAGAGTGAATGACTGGTGAGAAAAAATGGTCTGCCAAGAAGTAATGGAGGCATATTCAGAAAAGGTGGAGGCAAGTCCAGAAGAAATGGAATCTGGAGCATCAGAAGAACCCTAAGGAAGATGTCACAGTAGAAACTGGCAAAGCACAAAATAAGTTGCATGGGGGCTGGCATCGAGCTGCAGGCCACTGTGGTCAGCTGGAGGTAAGGACCCAGGGAAACTGTGGATCCCGGAAGAAACTGGCTGCTGCCCACAGATGGACGACCCGCCATGCAAGAGTAGCACGGCATGGGACCTGGGTGTAAGGGACAAAACAAAGATGATGTTGCACCAAGAACCCAAAAAGGAGTGATGTTTTAGAACACAGACCGGAAGGGACCAGAATGCAACAGTGGCATAAGGGACCAAGGCCTGAGATAGCAGCTACAAAGCAAGAAGGAATTCATCATGATGTACAGGAAAACCATCAGGCTGGATATCACAAAAGCAAATAGCTGGATCTTCTGTCACATTATGAAAAATCTTGAATTGGACACCACAGAAGGGTCAGCCACCTCCAAAACAGAAGAACCTACTCGTGGCTTTGGCATAAGAAGAGCTGGAAATGTGGGAGCACCGGCCACTCGGTACATTTGCCCAGGATGGTGATACACCTGATCTATTGGTACCCTAGCAGAGTGGCGCTTAGGGTGAGTAACCTTAAGGAGGGAGCAGTGGGAGCAGTTGGAGAGGAGCCACCACAGAAAAAAACCCAAGCAACTTAAAGGTGAGATGTCACAAGCAGAAACCTCAGAAAGGAAGGAACAGTGACACACCGATAGGCTATCCAGGACAAGTAGCCTTAAGGAGGGAGGAATGTGATGTGTAAACCCATTTCTATGGCCACGCCATAGCTCATGCGGTTAGTCACTGGCTTCCCACTGCGGCGGCCCAGGTTCAATCCCGGGTCTGGTCAAGTGGATCTGTGGTGGACAAAGTGGAGCTGGTGTGGGTCTTCTCCGAGTACTTCAGTACAATAGGCCAATCAGTGGCCACCATGCCAAGTGGACCCAGTTGGACTCCACCCCTCACTAAGAGAATTAAAAAAAAAATTCTAGGCAACGCCTAAAATATGAGCATGCAACAAGAGAAAAGGTATTGCAAGAAGTGTTTTCTATGTGGTCCATGCCAAGCCCATTGCTAGGCAACAGATCACTAAACACATTCCTGCCTAAGCATACCATGGAACAATTGGATGTCCATTTCTAGGCAAGGGAGTGGTAAATACCCCTACAACTCATTGAGAAACGGTGTTTTCCATGGGGTCTGTGAAAAGGGGGGGGGGGGGAAGAGAGAGAGAGAGTCGATTTCCAAAGCTAGTAGTTGTGAAAGAACGAGAGTAAGAAAAAAAGAGCACAAAGGAGTTAGCCTGTGAGAAGACGACTTGATATATTCTGTACTTACAGTGAGACTGTTACAAATCCATTGCCAGGATATGACTCATGAAGACTGAGAAGTCTTAGTGCACCCTAGTGATTTGTGAAGTAGGTAGATTAGCAATAGCGCTATAATTGATTGTGATTAAGAGAGACTGTATAGGAAGGCATTAATAAATGGAGTCATCCAATCCAGAACCCGTTATTATTAGTCACGGCCTAACACATGACAATATATTCACCTCACGTCACTTCAGAGGTTTGCAAAGATTCAATTGTTGTCACTGGTTCTTTCTCTGTTATCAGAGAAATATAATTATCATCTTCCTTTCCATCTTCACTTAGATGAAGATCTATAACCTCTATGCAATAATACATAGTTCACGTATTTCATGAATTTCAATTAATTGCAAGATAATGTAAACACACAAAGTGATCAATTAAATTTCCATTAAATATTAAAATGCAAACAACAATCAATTTTTATATTAAACAAGGAGTTCCAGCTCATAAAGCCTAATTTGCTGATGTATAGAGTTCCAGTCCTACAAATCTAGTATTATTAACGTCACATTTAGGTAATGTAAATTCATAATCAATCAGTGACATGTAATAACACAGCTCATGGTTGGCATGCCAGACTCATGTGAGCATGCTCATATGATCAACTCACTGTTGAGTCAGAATTCTTTATTCTCTGCAGTTGTAAATATGTTACCAGTTACTTTTATTATTACTATTATATTTGTTGTTGGTGTTACTTATACCAGACTATACAGCGCATAACGCAGAAGACCACAATATCAATACCCCTTAATATTTCTCAATGTAAAATATTTGTTCCTTTGGTGTTAAGTTTCTATGGACACAGCCCCATTATCTCTGTGCTAAATTCCCTTCAGCCAAGCTTTTCTGCTTAATATTCTAATCAAGCCACTGTACTGTACCTGGGTGTGATCAATTAAACATTTTCTATGACTAAACAAACCTGTATATCAAATGGTAGAGATGTGCTTCCCATGAAACTTGTGAAGCAATTGTCCAATGAATGCTGTTGCTGCTGTGGCTGTGTTTCATCTTGCAAAACTGTTTTGATAGGATGAGCTTTTGCATTAAACGAATTAAAGAAAGAGTCACCAATTGATCCTGTAAAAACATCAATACAGGATATGTTAAACACCTTAGAACAACATACATACTTGACAAGCATATGTAAGTAAAACATAATTATGTATATTTGTGTTCAAATGGTGTATGCCGTTGAGTTCATTGTGATAACTTTGCAGTTATGTTAACTGTGATCATGCCATTCCCCCACACACTATTTCCACTTAATCTCATTTAATCTCTAAGTGAAAATAATGTCTGGTGCAATGGCATGACCACAATTATGTGGTGTATCGAAAAGTTCCCAAAATTTGGATTCTGAGCATGAATGGTTATGAGTACATCAAAATACCACTAGGTGTCTCCCCACACACCCTTCTTGAATCAGTGTGGTAAGCGGCATTGAGTTGAGTGGTTGGGTTTATTGTTGGTGAACGTATATCCATTGTTGTGTTTCCATGAGTTTGCAGTTTTGCGATGGCTGACCTGAGAGAGCAGTGTGTCTGTATAAAGTTTTGTTTTAAACTTGGGAAAACTGCAGCAGAAACGCACCAAATGTTGAAGCAAGCTTTTTGTGACAACAGTTTAGGCCAGACACAAACTTACGACTGGTTTAAGTGTTTCAAAAATGGCCGAACATCGACTGATTATGACGACCGTTCAGGACAGTCGTCAACTGGCACCACACCAGAAAATGTCACGAAAGTTAGGGATCTGATTCTGCAAGATCGTAGACTGACCAATCAAGACCTCTGTAACATCTTTGGACTAAGTTATGGCACATGTTAATGAATTTTGTCAGAGCAACTGAACATGAGGAGGATTGCGGTGAAGTTTGTGCCACAACTGCTGCAAAATGAAAAAAGCAGCATCACTTGGAAGACTGCAGGGAACTTCAACAACAGCTTCAAGAGGATCCAAACTTTCTTTTGAAAGATGTCACTGGTGACGAAAGTTATGGCTACGATCCTGAAAGTAAGCAGCAATCATCACAATGGAAGAGCCCTTCTTCACCTCGGCCAAAAAAAGTTTGACAAGTCAAGAGCAAGATCTGTTTTTTTGATACTGACAGGATTGTTCATAAGGGGTTCATCCCTCCTGCTCAGACAATCAATAAAGAGTTCTATCACGATGTTCTAAGGTGTTTGAGGGAGGACATGAGGAGAAAACGTCCAGAGAAGTGCCACATGAACGACAGGGTACTCCACCATGACAATGCATGACCGCACATGGCTTACACTGCACAGGAATTTTTGGTTAAAAACAAGATGGCAGTTGTTCCCCACCCACCGTACTTGCCAGACTTAGCTCCATGCGACTTCTTTCTCTTCCCAAAGATGAAAATCAAGTTGAAGGGGTGAAGACTTGATACAGTTGAGGAAATTCATGTGGAAATGCAGACGGTACTAAACATCCCTAACATAGAATCACTTCCAGGATGCATTTCAAGTGGCAGAAACGCTGGGATCAGTGTATGCGCTCCCAAGGGGACTACTTTGAAGGTGATGGTGCAGAATAAGATCCAGGTAAGACATAATAGTTTTTATTAATATACTAGCTGTACCCGGCCATGCGTTGCTGTGGCTCAGTCTGGTTAAATGGAAAAGAAAGAAAAGATAAAGCGCACATTTCTAATATGTTTAATTTCACAATGCTTGTGGGTATACAAAAATTTTTTGTTGTTCCATTGTCTGTGCAGATAGAGATTGTCTGGTTTGCCGACTCTAGAACACGCAACATATTGATTGAGAACTTTGTTTGTGATTTCTAAGTGCAAATATTCAATCATTATCAACGCTTCGCTATCAACGGCGGTTAATTTCAGACTGACTGCTCTGTGTCGAAGATGGGCTATTTATACCTCGGCGGTTGCTATATAATGCCCTCTGTTGTCTATCACCGGGGAAACGCTGCTTTGTTGATTCCACGATTCCTATGCAACGACCCATTCTTATTGCATTGTCTCTGTGGGAACGCTATTGTCGCTACCTATGCAACGGTCTGTTCCAGCGTTACTATGGAAGTGACTCCTGGATTCCAAACATGTGACATGTTTTTACCTGTCACGGGTGTGACATCTATATAATAGGTATATAAAAACACGGGCGTATCCGAATGCAATGTTGTGTCAAAATTTCAAAGCAATTGGTGAAGAACTTTCGGGGATTTAAGATCCTGAACAAACGTACATTTACATTTTTATTTATATAGAAGAAGAAGATAGATAGAAGATAGATCGATATCTTTAATGATTTTAACATCATAAAGTATTAAAATACAATTTTAGTGAGTGACATATTCTTGATGTCTCTTAAATTGTTGCATTATTTACATGTACTTTGATAATAAGAATATGTTGCGTGTTACCTATGTAACATTGTTGTGGTCACGTGTCTCCTATTCAGTGTGACAAATAACTTCCACGTACGTCTCGGATTCAGCGAATAAGTTATTGAACGCTCACTTCTACACCAGCGAGTACAATTATTATCATGTCCAGTATCACCAACAAACTCTTCAGAGCTGGATTATTATAACCTGGTTTCGGATGCAATAGAGGGCACTTTCGCCCAGGATTCGATTTCACGTGTTCTGTGCTCGTTGCCACAGAAATGCATTATTTCTGTGCTGTTTCAACAGTTCGTTGCCATGGTTATTCCCAGGCAACGATCTGTTGGTATTCGATTTGTCGCTGTGGGAACTCAACAATTTCAATTGTAGGCATTGCGCAGCGATGGACGATATATAACACGTTACGGTATATTAATATTGAGTACAAATAGTATTTTAACAACCAATCAACCTGTCACAGGTGTGACATCTATATAATAGATATATAAAAACACGCGCGTATCCGAATGCAATGTTGTGTCAAAATTTCAAAGCAATCGGTGAAGAACTTTCGGGGATTTAAGATCCTGAACAAACGAACATTTACATTTTTATTTATATAGATTTCAGGAACTTTTGGATAGTACCTTGTATTACTGATTACATATTCCACAACTGAGTTTCAATTAAAAATAATTATGGTGGGAGTTTAGTGATGCATAGGAGTTGTTAAATGTCAAGTAGCATTTAAGGACGTAAGGTTCACATTTTATGCTTTGTGTTCAAAGCCCTAGTTTTGGGAGACTCTTTTTAAGCCTTTTCATCCCAAGAGAGAGATGGAAGACCAATGGAAAGTGTTGATTTTAATTACATCTACACTTTACCAGTTGTTTGATAAGATTTCCACAAAAACTGAGAATGTCTGATTTCGGCTTAAAAGAAAGCATAGTGCTGAACTGAGAGAAACCATCAGCATAACAACTTTTGATGTAATACCTTTATGCAAAAGTTTATCTAAATCTGTGCAACAGACACAGAGATGAAATGCAAATATATGGTCACAGCTTCCTCATTGTACATTCATTTTATGCCTTCAGGCAATGAATGCATAAAAACTTCAAACAAGAAATTTATAGTACTTGAAACTTAGCTTACAACTTCATTAATAAGAAGGCTAGTATATATTTCAGAAGAGGTTTGACTGTCACAAAGTGTAAGATCCAGTAATAAAACCCTTGTCAGTAAACTCAACCTGTATTGTCATTTTCGCCTGGCAATTCAATATCTGAATCTGGTGATGGAGACGGAGCATTAATGTCCGGAGATGGGACAGGACTGATGTCCTTCAGTGTGGGAATCAATTCATCGAGACGACGCTTCAGATTCTTTACACGGCTACCAAAATTCCTGTAGGCCTGCAACAAAACAGTATTAATACACACATTAATTTAATGAAGATACGAATGAATAATATCTGTATGAAATGGAACCCGATCTAATAGACTGAATACTGCATAATTATACAAATATATTAAAAACTCCAAAAATTTGTACTCACTACTTTTAGGAGCCCTACAATGAATCAAATATTCAAGTGTGTGCACTGAATAACAAGCCATGAGTACACAGTTTTACCTTCAGACAGACCCAACAGAGTGTCTCCCACCCTCTCCCCTAAAGATGGAAAAAGATTCAGTTTCCAACACACTGTGTTCTTGGATGGTCAAAGTCCGATAAGTCAGTAATGCCTTGACTGTTTACAGTTATTCCACAGACAACAGTAACATCTAACTAGGAATAAGAACTACTGAATCATTAGAATGGGTCAACCCTTCAATGTGAAATAAGCTGTTTTCCTTGTTGCAACCTGCTTTCTTGGACACATTTATATTCAGCGAGGAGACATTGTCAAGTTTCAGCTCAAACTAAATTCTGGTAGGTTAGTTAGTGGCTCCTAGATCTATGAATCACTGTCTTGAATTACAAAAAAATATTACAGTTTGTCAGTACTGATATAATACTCACATTGGCTACAACTTTAGCCTCTCCTTTTTGAGTTTCGTAGAAGGCATCAGCATGTTCAAGTAATTCGATAAGAACATTCCTCTCTTTTATCTCCAGTTCCAAAGCTCTCACAAATCCCTGCATTTTGCTGACACCTTCATCAACTTCTGCAACTATGTCATCCCCTTGCCTCCTATCTGTAACATTACGGCAACCTGCAGTTTAATGCAATAGAAATAATGTTACTGATACCAAAACACGCACAGTGTTTCTTTATCTAAAATTTTCATGCAATACCTTTCAAATGACTAAATAAAGCATCTGCATCTGAGAAAGAGAGACGACTTTCATTCAGCCTCTTCAATTTCAGATCAGTATCGTCTTCCAGCTTCTTGCAGCTGCGAATCTTGGCAATCAGTACAGGAGGCTAAAAACGGAATGAACTTACATTAGAACAAAACAGAATTTGTTTCTCTCCTACTTTTGTTAAGAAGCTTACAAGTGATGCACATCATATAGTTGATTATGTTCTATCATTTCATACATAACAGATCAGATTATACTAGACTAAAGGTATGAATGTTAAACAACCCTTGCATTGTGACTGTCTTTGATCTACTGTGCATCCCCTTTCTAATATTTAGCCCCTTGGTTTCATCATGAAATCTTAATTATGTTACAACCTCCATCATACAGGACATGTAGGGAAGGTGGGTCCTTCTTTATTATGATATAATTTGCAGTTTGGACTATTTATCAGTCCCAGTTTGGACAGGTGTCCCTTCAAATGACAATGTCCTGTACATAGTCTTAGTTCCAGCTACTTGCTATTCAAAGCCAGTAGTTCCCTAGTTCTATTAATAGAGGGCTGCTTAGTGAAACCATCTGCATGCTATTGTCCAGATGTGGACTGTCAATACTTCTGACATCTGCTGTTAAACTAAACCCTGATGGCCTGCTTAGCAACTCTTTTCAAGATACTGCAAGCCATTCCAGGTCATATAGGTAGATGTTCATAACCTGTTTTTGCCAACTAACCAGCAATTTCTTTCTCTTTATGCCCTTTTGTCCTGGCACCCATATCAGTTGTGTATACTGTTACAGTTTCACTGAGGTTGTGACATTAGTTTAAGAAAACCTTCAACTCTTCTGTTCCAATAATGCTAATAATAATGAGAATGCCGAATGGCTCTTCGTTGTTTTCATATCCCTGTGATAACTTCAAAGACGAAGAAATACTGCCACACACATACATTGCCATAGAAACCTTAGTGTCACATTGTGTGTAACTGGATTGCCTACTTACACATTTAAACCATTTTTGGATATTACAAGTATAAGCTGGAAGGAACATTTTTTGAAGGTTTATAAATTCTTGTAATATTAAGGTTGCACTGTATAATTCATTTGGAGGAGTTCATAAACATTTTTTAACCACATATTAAACCTTTGACGTGGTCATTTAAATTCCGCGGCCGCGGCTCCTGCGGTAATATATTCAGCCGGCCATTTAAATTTTGCTCGAAAATTATTTATTCATCATTGTTCTTAAATTCTATGAGATAGGAACATGNAACACCAGCACATATCAGTCTCTGGTGTTTATAGCTTCAGAGCAAACAAAACACATCATTCATAACAGAAACAGCTCGCAATAGCCACAGGAACGTTGCTGCAAGACAGGCATATGTAACGACGACTTAGCGCTCTTAAACGCGTGTGTCATTAAATACAGTCCTCCTGACAACAGGCCAGTGAAAAATCTAACAATCTACAGCAAAACCATCAATTATTATGGGCGTTATAACATACGTGTGCAGCTGGACGAAACATACACGTCGAACCCCCCCAGACGATTTAAATCCCTGACGAAACATACACGACGAACCACGGCAACGGGTTAAAACACCTCTGCACAGGCATGATAAACACTTCTACCTCAAGGTGGAGCAAATTCCCTGTTCAGACATAAAACTTGCACAGAAAACATTTATATTATTCCTAATACAATACTCAGATACTAAAATGTAGACACTCTTCCTCTACACAAGGGAGAGACCCAAAGGGTGTATTAACACCTACAGTAAGGCATTAACCTGTTAGTCACTATGGCTACTGGGTCCTGAATGTCTTGAAAGACAAACCCAATAAGAAGACACAATTTCCAGGCACTCTCTGCTTCATTTGTCTGCATTTGATAGGACAAGGGCATGCTTTGATGTTTCTTTCTTAATGGGGAGTTTGATGAATGGCTTATATTACAATTCAGATGAAGCATCATTCTAAGCAGCTATATTTACCTTTTGTGAACTTATGCTGACCGACATTTACATTATAAATGAATGCAAGAAAATTTTTGAAAATGCAAACACAGTAAAAACTTATCTTATGTTCATATATGACAATTTGCATCTCCTTGCCTGAAAATCTGAAGTGTCAGTGACCATTTCAGTACTCGTTTTCTTGGTCGTTGTACTCAGAAGTCCCGAGAGATCAGATATGAAGGCTTCATCATATATACCACGTTCATCCCAAATTTTGAATATGCGAAGTATTCTGTGTTTTACTTTCTCTTCCCTGAAAATGAGAGCAAACATTTTAGCAATAATTAATCCAAATGGAAGGAAAATACATTAAGCCCTGGGAATGCTTGATGACTGCTCTATGATGATCCACGCTGACCTGTGTCTGTTTTGTGTCTGTGTAAATTCGTTACATTTATTACATTCTGCTTCATTTCTGAATATACTGAAAGGTAGATAGACCTGCATATCCAGTGATATGAGCTTCACTCCCCACTCTCCATTGTAAATTTTGACCCTATGGCCAAAACTGTGCATAAGCATACCATGAAACATGTTTTTAGGAAATAGTGCTGTGTGCAAGGTCATGTTCGTAGGTTGTACAGAAAGTCATGAGCAATTTTTTTTCCTGTAACCTGGGAACAGCAGACGAAAGAGAGTACAGTGGTAGGTGAAACCGGCTGTTGTGTCTTGTGTGTCTTGTGACATCAACAGCTTGCATCACGTGACCAGTATCACTCCTAACAAAATGGCCAACAACGATATGTCGTTTCACCAGGGTGCTGTCATCGAATTTCTTGTGAAAGAGGAAATCCCTGCTGCAGAAATTCACCAGAGACTTCAGCATGCTCATGGAAGTGTGTGCATGGGTGCGAGCAGTGTTCGAAGATGGGTGAAACATTTTAAAGATCGGAACACAAGCATTCTTTACAAACAGTTTACATCTGATGGGGCATACTTTCATCTCTCTGGCTATGTCAACAAACAAAATTTCCAACATTTGAGCAATGAACAGACCAAGCAGGTTTATGCAAACCTCTACAGTGAAAGAGTTGCAGTCTGGTGTGGCACATCTGCCTCTGGAATTATCGGACAATACTTTCTTTAACCTTTAAATGCCGGACTTCTGAAATGGTGGTAAGCTTGAACTGGCCGAAGTTTATTTAAATGCCCACTGCTACTCTGCATTTAAATGTCCGTTCCTGTTAGGGCGCTTAACAATTTTAAGCTTTGTGTTTAAAAATGCTCTATCCAACTAAATTTTTATGATAAATGGATGGAATTAACTTTGTTTGTATCAGCAAAGAACATAGTGTCGCATATTGTAACAGAAGATTTGAAAATTTTTATACAAAGAGTTATACTCTATTTTCAATTTTTTTCTTTTAATTTTGATGTGTACTGCAAAAATGGTTTCCCAGTTCTTCACAGAGTTGTTTTGCATTATGAATTCATTTCTGTTTGTAACATTTGACAAATTTTAGCAGTTCCTGGTGTCATAAAACAAATGGAAGCAATAAAATCATTTGGTCTCCTGCTAGCACTGCTTACACTCTTCAGTTTTTCGAATCTTTTGACTAAAAGACAGAAGAACGAAAGAATAGCTATTCAAGAGAAAGCTAGAGGGGTCCCTTCTTCAGTGCTAAAACCTTCCGTTATGGCTGCAAGAGATTATTGCCCTTTCTAGGGTCGTGAACAGACAGTTGCATCGTGGCTGAGATACAGAGTGCAATCTGTTTTTTGTGCGTTCATAGTGAAATCAAATACTGTAATTTCATTTCAGCATATATATATACAGGGTGTCCCAGGAGGAATGTGCCNTATATATATACATCAAGCAGATAACAACAAAAAAGGTATGTACGTAGAATTTTACTATATATTTTTAACACATTAATCTGCAGAATCTGCAATAAAAGTACTGGCTCATGGATGAGTTTAGTCATAACTCATAGGTATATTTGTTTTTGCTGTTGTTCACTTAGATATCATTTTAATTCCTCTATTATGGTTTTACTCAAGTCTGTCTGGTAATTACTACATTTAAAAATAAATATTTAGGACTGTGCATGCGCTTCTACTAGCAGTGTGTGCGCGCGCTTCCACTAGCAGAGTTTAAATGCCCGACTGGCCAAAACGGGGTACTTCGGCCACAACGACCATACTCATCACTGGCCCGATCGGGGCACTTTGGCACTTAAAGGTTAAAGAAGGTAGCTACACAATGCCCACAGACTCAGTGATATTGAATCATGGTTGAAATGTCACAAGTGGTTGATTCCAACACAATGGGACAACTGCACATACAGCTGTGGAATGAAGGAACTGTTTGACGGCCATGTTTCCTGTGAGTCTCATTTCACATAGCAGTGTGTGCGCGCGCTTGTCTAGGTCTCCTTACTTGCGTGTCTAGGTCTCCTGACCAGACAGCACCCAACTTCTTCCCACAGGTATACTTAAAATCTGAAGTTTATGTCAACATACCTCACACCACCATGGAGTTTAAAAAGCATATCAGTGATAAAATTAAAGCAAATGACAGTACTACTGTCAAGAACTGTGGAGAGTTTTCAATGTAATTTGAAGACCGTATTACATACTCAAAAAGATATTTTAAAAAAATAATGATCTCACAATTTCTATTATACTATTGCTCTTCCAATGAAGTTCCTTTTTATTCAACCCAATCCCTTCAGTAGACCTCTACAAAACATCACTTTACACTGCTACACCTGTATAATACTGGTATGTATGTACTTCATAATCCATTCCTATGAAAATCTATTTTACAGATAAACTAGCATAGCAATCAAAGCAAATAAGTTCTGACGGACAAAAATGACACTATTAAGATAGAGATACTAAGTTATTCATTAATGCTGTGGTGCAGCAGCTACAAATACAGTCTTTTACATTACAACTGCTACCCAACATATGGCAGCATTAATGCCAAAACGAAGTGATGAATGTTATACTGAGGAACTGCTCAACGGTCAAGGAAACCTGGCTACAACACACAGCAGAAAGAACATTTCTCCCAGAGTGCTGTTGTAACTGCCAGTAGCAGAATGAGTCATTAGCGCTGATAAACGCGTCCCGTTAAGAGGNTCACTTTACACTGCTACACCTGTATAATACTGGTATGTATGTACTTCATAATCCATTCCTATGAAAATCTATTTTACAGATAAACTAGCATAGCAATCAAAGCAAATAAGTTCTGACGGACAAAAATGACACTATTAAGATAGAGATACTAAGTTATTCATTAATGCTGTGGTGCAGCAGCTACAAATACAGTCTTTTACATTACAACTGCTACCCAACATATGGCAGCATTAATGCCAAAACGAAGTGATGAATGTTATACTGAGGAACTGCTCAACGGTCAAGGAAACCTGGCTACAACACACAGCAGAAAGAACATTTCTCCCAGAGTGCTGTTGTAACTGCCAGTAGCAGAATGAGTCATTAGCGCTGATAAACGCGTCACGTTAAGAGGCCTGGGGTTTACTCAGCCTCTAACTGAAATGAGTACCAGGAATTAATTAAATAATTTTCCTGGGGAGTGAAGCGCGGCCAGCGTGTAAGGCTGACGTTACCGCCATCTTTGAGCCAATTGTCAAGGTAATGTGGGACCCTTAACGTCTCACAACTCTATGGGCCTTCATGGCCTGCTAGAGGGATAGCTTTACTTACTTACTGTTAAAGGTGTTGATAGGCAGTCGGCATTTATGCTGAAATGAAGTTCATTATTGAACAGCACGAGTTAATTGTCGAAACTTTTGCAAGGAAAAAATTTATAGAAAATGTATCTGTAAGTTTCATCGTAAATATCATGACTCACCAGTTCCCACAAAGTCGTGCGTATCCAAGCTAGTGAAAAAGTGGTGGGCCATAGGTTCAGTGTGTGTCATAAAGAAGCAACTGAAGAGGATCATGCTGACTGAAGAAAAGGTTCAGGATATTGAGGCATGACTATAGATCAGTCTTCGAAAATCAGTAAGATGTTTAGCACAGGAAACGGTTGTTTCGCTCAGCCACAAAATCAAATTGTGCTCAGCCACAAAATTAATCAAATTTTGCTCATATAAAATAACAACTGTGCATGAGCTGAAACAACCAGATTATGCAGCAAGAAATCGCTTTCGCAACTGGCTGCTGCAAAATGTGCACGATGGAATTGTGGATGCACAGCTTCTGTTCATGACTGATGAGGCGTGGTTTCACGTCAGTGGCCATGTCAATGAGTATGGAGCAATGAAAATCCTCACGTTATACAAAAAGTGGCATTACATAGTGAAAAGGTTGGGGTTTAGTGTGCTGTAAGTCCGTGGTGATTCATTGGCCCCTTATTTTTTCACAAAACCATGAACTCTGACCGCTATGTTAATGATATACTGAATCCATTCTTCAGTCAGCTCACTGCTGAAGAAAGACAATATGGGTATTTTCAGCAAGACATCGCTACAGCACACATGGCTAATGCAACCATGGTCACAATACAGGAAGTGTTTGAAGACAGAATAATAAGCAGGGGTTTGTGGCCTCCCAGATCCTCAGATCTGTTTTTGCGACTTTTATCTTTGGGGAAAACAGAAGGGAAAAGTCTACAAGAATAATCCTCGCAGCACTGAACCTCTGCAGAATGAAATAACATGCCACTTTTTCACAAGCTTGCATACACATGACTTTGTGGGTACTGGTGAGTCAGGATATTTACGACGAAACTTACAGATACATTTTCTGTAAGATTTCTCTCTTTGTAAAAGTGTCGACAGTAAACACATGCTGTTCAATAGTGAACTTCATTTCAGTATAAATGTCGACCGCCTACCAACACCTCTAACAAAAGACTGACCATTAATGCGACTTACTGCAGTGACAAGATCAGACCACCTGACAGCACGTGTTTACCAGCACCAATGATTCATTCTGCTATTAGTAGTTACAGCAGCAATCTGGGAGAAACACTGTGTCTGCTAGATGCTGCTTCAAGATTTCCTCGATGGTTGAATGCCCTGTATATCCAATGCAAACAAACCTCACTACGCAGAATCCTTCACAAGATTCTAGTAATACTCATTCACTTAATTAATAATCCAACATTTACAGAATTCAGAAGTTCATTACCTTGTATACAAAAGCCAATACTGTTCCATATCCTACACTAGATAGATCCAGCCACATCACTGCACCCCATTTAAGATTCCTTAAATATTAACTAAGAAGCTGGGATAGTGTAGTCGATATAGCAACTGGCTATGGGCTGGA